AGAAGAAAACAAGCCACTGTAACAGTGATACCTCCAAACCAAGCAAGCTCTGAAGCAAACTAAAAATGATTAAAGCCAACTAATACATCACCAATGATCACAGAAACAAAATGGCAAAGATAGTGTGTACTATGAAGTTAAATGTGGTTTGAGGAAAGTCTGAGAATAGTGAGTGGAATAAACAGACGGGAAGAAAGAAAGAAAGGAAGGAAGGAAGACCGAAAGAAAGACCAAGGTTATATAACGAAGGGAGAAAACAAAAGGCAATGGCACAGAGTGTCACAGTAGGGAAAAGAGAATGAGAGAGAGAAGAAAACATCTGATTGGCAAGAAAGAAAAGGCTCAGCAAAACCAGGGAAGCATGACAAGAGGAATAGAAACTAAAATCTTTAAAAATGAATACGATAAATAGTAAATAAAAATACTGTTGGGCATGTAGTACCTCACCCCTGAAAGTGTTGGAGCAGCTTTTGTTGGGCCCTCTAAGATCGGAGTCTACCAAGGAAGGCATTCTCAGCTGCAGCAGGAGCCTACTGTCTTCTCTGACATTTGGGCCACTGCTGGTGTCACACATCTTTCAGGAAACGCTTTTTTTATACTTAGATGAAACTTTAGATCGAATTATGATTTCAGACTTGTCCAGCTTACTTATCAGCATCTTAAAATAATTAGCAACTAAGACAAGAAGTGACTACAATCCTCCCTCCAGAGGTGGGGAGGAGAGAGAGAGGAGTAATTTTTTGAGTATGTATTATTTATGATTCATAGAATGTGTTGACCATACCATATATACTTAGGTTTATTAGTTATGGATTTTTAAAAAATCATTTAAAATATTTTTGTTATTTGTTTGTTTTTTTGAGTCAGGGTTTCTCTGTATTGCTTTGGCACCTGGAGTCTGTCCTGGAACTTGTTCTGTAGACCAGGCTGGACTTGAACTCTCAGAGATCCACCTACCTTTGCCTTCTGAGTGCTGGGATTAAAGACATGCACCACCAAAGCCCGCCCGGCTAGTTATGGATTTTTCTTGAGACAGGCTCTTGCTATGTAGCTCAAGCTTGTCTCAAATTTGTGGTACTCCAGCCTCAATGTTCCCACAGCTGGCATTACAGGCACAGACATAAATACCTGGCTTTACCTCCTCATGCGGTAGATAAAAAGATATGTTAATTCTATATGGACATAGAGGGTACCATACTCAATATTCAAAATAGTTAAGTATAGTCTTCCCATTTCAAACCATACTTTGTAGAAGTATTCCATGTATTTGGGGACTGTCTTGGTTAGTTAGAAGGAACAGCCTGGAATTTCTAAGTGGCTGTCAGTAATTGGTATTTCATGTTCTCTGTATTTAAAACTTAGCCTTCAGATTTCCCCGGTAAACCAAAGTTTCCAGGCTTTTATCTTCTATTCCTGTTAGAGGCAGTATGTGTTAGTCACCTTCCCTATGATTGTGACCAAGTATCTGACAAGGGACCACTTGGGGATGGGTCTGTTTTGGAGCACAGTTGAAAGGATGCAGTCCACCCTGGGGAAGCCACAGTGGAGGGCGGAGTTGTTTGTGGTGGCAGGAATTTGTAGTAGGGCTTGCTCACATCTTCTTAGATGACAAAGAAGAGAGCCTGGCTAAAGTGGACTCCCCTCTGGGGCTCAACCCCTGCCCTTAGAGCCCCAGCATCCACTAGTGAGTTCCCATGGCCAAAAGGTTCTACAGTGCCTCAAGACAGCGACACCAGCTTGAGACCAAGTGTTCAAATGAGAGTCTTTGGGGCACATTCCACAGTCTATGGCATATTTCTCATTTTCTTTGTATTTTTTTTTATCATTATCTGATTGATTTAGCCTTTTCTGTTGTGATAATATACACATATAACTTGCTACCTTGGCCACTTAAAATGTAAAGGTAATTGGCAGTAAGTACGTTCCTAGCACTGTGCCGATGCCCCTCCCTGCCCTGGCCCCACCCTCATCCTGTGCTCTTTATCTCAGAGACCTGTGTCCATCGGACACCATTGCCCTCTTTACCTCAGTCTCTTGAATCCCTACCACCCTCGAATCTGTAGACACCAGATTATAATTCTGTAATATTTTTGTTTTCCAAATGTATATGCAGTTATATATGAGTGCTATGGTTAGAGATTTTGACATAAGAAAAAAAAAAAAAACGAATTTAATTGTTAGTTGAAGAGTCCATAGGAAGACCAGAGCAGGGCTTCTGAAACACCTGTGGCTATGACTTTTTTAAAGATTTATTTATTATGTATTTATTATTTATTTATTATGTGTTTGTCTGCATGTACCCCTGCATGCCCGAAGAGGGCACCAGACCCCATTACAGATGGTTGTGAGCCATCATGTGGTTGCTGGGAATTGAAGTCAGGACCGGAAGAGCAGCCACTGCTCTTAACCTCTGAGCCATTGCTCCAACCCCAACCTGTGACTTCGTTATGCCCATAAAATGTTTATGTGACTCCAGATGCATGGTTGCATAAAATAGGCATACAAACAAATGCTAATGATATATCACAAAGAATATATATTTAAAACAATAATTTGATGCACTTGCATTTGAATGAGACTATATGTGGTAGTTCTTTTCACATAAAGCTTTCAGTCTTAGCTAGATGTTTGATACTGGAGGGAGTTGCATCTTCATGGATGCTGGAGACTGAAGGGAGTGGAGATCTTCAGTACATTTCAAGTCTGGATAGCTTTATTTCATAATTGTCAGTGTTGAGGACATGGCCTTGCATAGTTATATAAACAACATGGCGTGTATGTTTAGGGCATTTCAGAAATTGTTGGAAATTCTTCCCTAATCCTCAGCTAAAATGAATTGATTTATTTTAAATGATTCTCAAATTAGCAACCCAAAGAGCCATGATCTTTCAGTGCTGGGGATTGAACCTAGGGCCTTGCACATCCTAGGCAATTGCTCTACTATTGAGCTATATTCCCAGTCCTTTAGTTAAAAAAAAAAAAAAAACAAATATTCTAATATAATCCAACACTAATTTGATACTTTTACATACTGAGTGATGATAGCATGAAAATATGAAAAGTATTTTCTTTATAATTAAACAATAATGTTTCTATAATAGCAGGATCCTTCATAGGCACAGTAAAAAACACCTCAATTTGTTGCCTATGCAGTGGTCTCCAATCTGAGTACTTCAGGCAGGATTCATTACACTTCATGGTGTCATGGTATGCACAGTGCAGTGTACATGTTATGCTCTCAGAACCAAGGTTGCAGTGATGTCCTGTAATGAAACATAAGCAAACACTGCTACAAATACCTTGGACTAATGTGTTTGATTTTTAAATTAATTTTTGGTTGTTGTGCATTTGTACTGTTGCCAGGTGTGTGTGTGTGTGTGAGAGAGAGAGAGAGAGAGAGAGAGAGAGAGAGACTTCAATTCAGTTTTGTTGTGATCTCCTGTTTACAAAGCTATGGACTGACAATCACAATTGGAAAATGGACACGCATATAAGGGAACTAGGTAGAAATGACCCATCCGAGTCAAGACGGGTGTCAGGAAGCCACTGCTGCTGCTTTAACTTTCTTCCTGATCATGTCTTTGCATCCTAACTGAGCGCAGAGTGTGGAGTTGGCACAGCTGTTGTAGTCCAGAGATCTCCCATTGGTTTCTCCATCTTGGCTGGACGCAAAGTCACAATGGAAAGGGGTTCGCATAAGGTAGAAAGGAGGGATGTATTGGATTAGGAAGAGTCCCTCTTAATCCTAGGTACAGTTGAATAGATTTCCTTTATATGACTACCATTAAAGTATGGTGGTTTTTTTTTTTTTAATTTCTTTTCCTTCCTTTTCCCTCCCTCCCTCATTCATTCATTAATGTTTTGAGACAGGAGTAATCTATGTTGTCCTGGCTGTCCTTGAACTTGCTATGTAGACCAGGCTGCCTTCAATCTAAGAGATCCTCCTGCCTCTGCCTTTCAAGTGCTGGAGTTAAAGGTGTGTGTCACCACATTAGATAATTTCTTTTTATTTACTTGAGATTTCCTTATAATACTTTTTTATCATATTTTTTCTCATCCCCAACTCCTCCCCTCTGAAGTATATTTCTAAAGAATTCTGTATGAAAAGTAGCTGTGTGCTTTTAAAATAAAGTTAAAAAAAAAACTCTAAAGGCATATCAATGCTTAAAAAGCATGTAGTTGTTTATTATTTAATAAGACTCATAGTAGCTTACTAGAGAAACACAAGTTTTATTCTTTTTTAAAAAGCCAGAGTTAGCCACCCCCGACCATTCACAGTATGATAAAGGAAACTACAAAGTACATATTTTTCTCAGGAGCAGAATCATGCAGAACAGATTGATAGACATGCATAGATTTTTTTCAACATTTTCCTTGGCAGAATAAAAACAATTTACATTTAAAATGTACCAGGCTATTGTCACTGGTAAAGTAAATAAAAAGAAATGTACAGGAAATACATCTTGACTCCTCTAGAACACCTCGGGAGAGAACCAGTGTAACTGACTACGGATGCATTAGTGTTCTTTCCAGTCCCCACAGCCCAGAAATGTCTGCAGTGCATTTCCATGAATGGTAGTCTTGAAGTAAACAAAGAAGGTGATATATAGAAACATTTTCTTGGATGTTTCTGTGCCCCGGGCTATGTGGGGAAACGAATGTTTATCTGTATGAAAAATCCTTCAGGGAATGTTTTACTACACACGTAGTCACTTTTGAGTCCAGTACTGGGCTGGACTCCAGTAACAGTGCGTCCATTGTAACCACAGAAGGTAATGCAGAATGTGCACACATTCAGACACATGACTTTGAGATAAATATTTTCATGGCCAAGCAGAATAGTTAGGCATATCAAACCTCTTAGAGATTCTATAACCTGGTAATATATGGGTACATATTCCAAGACAGAAGGTTGGGTTCCTGTCTCAGAGTTCATGTTTAGTAGTCACAGTCAGACACGCCCTGGTTTCCAGTCCTTCCCTCCCCCCCCCCACCCCACCCCACCCAGGACTTCACATGTTTCGCCGCCTTAAAGATTTCTTTTCATTCATTGCCTGTAATGAGAAAATGAAGAGTTTTATTACCGGGTGGTTTTGTTTCCTCAGTAATTAAGAGCTGACTTGTAAAAATACATAGCAGAAAAAGGATGCCTCATGCAGATTTTGATAGGGCTGTAATGGGGTCTTCCTGCAGTTGCCTGTTTTCTGTGTTCCAGAACTCTTCTGGATGAAGTCACATTCTGACTTGAAAGTCTGGGAACCTACCTGTATGAGGCGGGCTTGCTTTGATTTGGGGTCCAGGCATCTTTGTCTTTTTTGTGATTTCAGGGTAACACTGTTACGGAAGACACAGAGAAGCCTTAAACTTTAGGGGAAAGTGTCAACAAAACAAAAACACTCCTCTGTCACCTCCAGCAAGCCCATTACTTACATCACTTCAACTTTGTTGCAGCGGTTACTTGGGTAAAGTACGGTGGCTGTCTCAATGTCTGCTATCTTGACTGCTTTTGCTAAGGGCTCTATGCAAAGACAGCGCCCCCCTTTGAACATACTGAAGCCTAGAACAGACAGCAGAGCTGGTTAGTCTTAGCTGTCATTTACAATCCCAGCAGTGGACAGCGACACATTTCTGTTAATCTCATTTGTGCTGATTGGAATTAAGCTTGAATCTCCCTGTAATATTGCCCTCTGCTTTATGCTAGTTTATTATATCCTTGGTTATTTCCTTCGTTGATTTTTGTTATTTAATTTAGGTTTCAGATAGGACTCACTTGCTGTTTGACCCAAGCTAGTCTCCAGCTTCACTGGAAAGCCCAGGGTGACCTTGAACTTGAAGCAGTATGTAGCAGGCCCCATGTCTTAGTATTATCCTACCTCATCTCAGCATCTATAAGTGCTGAGCTTACATTGTTGTGTGTGTATGCCACTAGCCCAGCACTTGATAATTACATAACATACAGGACACGGAGAAGAAAGTGGCTATTTTCTTTTGTATTATTCTAAATTAAAACTAAGTATCATAAATCATGTTACCTTTCACAGATGAAACAATCTTTCAGACTTCACAAATGCCCCCAGGGAAACCACAAAGATTTGTTATTTTATAAGAGCATGGAAAGTTCTAAAAATGACGATGTTGTCTTATAGACTCCATATTGCTTAGCCTAGATCTGCTGTGATAATCACATAGGAGCCATCATATTCCAGGAAACACAGTTCTAGGTTCAGCTTACGGGGAAATGTTCATAATGTTTCTTTTTGGAGATAATATTCTTTTGGGGGATGCCTGCAGAGAGTTGTTAGTACCCATACTGTCCTTAAAACATCCTTGTCCTCAAGCAAAGTATTGATCAAATACATATGACATTGCTATGACCATTGCCCCACAGAGAATTTCCTTTTATTTTGAAAGTATTGGTTACAATAAATTAGTGGTGTCGTGCTTAAAAAGCTAATTTTCCCAGGAAACCAACATAATCATGTATAAGAGTCTCTGAACAGACATTGAGAGCTGACTCTAAAGACTCTTGCTAGATAATTGCCAGGAAATTAAGAAACCTATAACATTTATTATCTATAGTTAAAATGACTGTTTTATGTAATTATTTCCAACATTTCCTGCTTTTGAGAGAACTTCTAATGTGTGAAATTAAGGAAATTGTGTATTTTAGAGAAAGACATTGAAAGATAACAAAGTGAACGCATAGGCTCAGAACCAAAAGGAATCATATACCTTGAACAGTTGTAGCACCGATGATAACAGCCAAGGCTATGGCCATCATGCCCTTCATGTCCATCACGGCGGCAGCTGCTGCTTGGCTTTGATACTCTGTGCAGAGAGCAGTGAGAAGGCTGGACCTCAAGAGTGTACCAGGAGCATTTTATAGACCAGCATCCTTGTGCAGAAACAGGAATTTCCCTTCTTGACTCATGTAGTTTTCTTGCTTCCTAGAGTTTCCTTTTTGTCCTCACGCCAGTGCCTCTGCCATTTCCTGTAGTGAAGACAGTGACTGGAATGTGAAAGCATTTGGGAACTAGAAGCAGCCATAGGCAGGTGGCTTTACCTAGAAATGCCTTTATCTGGTGATTTGGGGCAGTGTAATTCCAAGTCTCACAGACACAGGAAGACCTTCCCAGTGCCAGTCAGCTAATCTTTCCCCTACACATAACTACACAAAGGGACATGCACATTAGACATAGATTATTTGCTAACAGGTGACCTTTATCTAACATTACATTATCTTGCTTTCAATTTCATATCTGAAATACTCTCCCCATACCTGTGCACTTGCGTGTATCTCTTTTTGAATTTTAGAGCCAAGCATGCACAAACACGCGAGCATGCTTTTTAGTGTTCATGCTTGTATATTTTCTGTTAAGGACTATAAAACCGTCCTCTTCCTGCTCCTCTTAAGTTTTCTGAGTCTATTAAATGTATCATTCATAGAAATGTTATGAGTCCAAGTCCAGTTTTTTTTTTTTAAACTTAAGGCTGGGGCAGTGATGGCACACACCCACACACCTTTAATTGCAGCACTTGGGAGGTATAGGCAAGTGGATCTCTGTGAATTCAAGACCAGCCTGGCCTATAAAGCAAGTTCCATGTCACTGAAAAGATTGCAGGAGCAAAGACAGAATAAAAATGAGTGCCCCTCTTCCTCCCTGAGGATGACCCAGGTGTTCTGTAGGATGGTTGCTGTTATCCTGTGTCCACCTAAAAGTTGAAGATTGTTGTCCCCCACATGGGAATGGCCGTGCCTGCCTTCCCTCTGACATCAGTGTAAATGCAAAGGAAGGGTTATTGCAATCTTCACTTCAGGTCTTCAGGTAACAGATGTGAAACTATGCTGAGCTGGGAGGGGGCTGCTTCTGTATTGAAACTTCCTTGACCAATTTCCTGCAGCTAAGGGAAGCCCAGCCTAAGGATTGGCAGGTGCCCCCCCCAATTCCTCTCAGTAATCTAGTTTCCTGGAAAGTGCCGCAAGTGCCTCCCTTTTACAGCAGTTAGTAAATGTTTGCTCAAGTTCAAATGTATGTCACAGCCCTAGCATTCTTAGAGACATTGTAACCAGATTCTTTTTTGTGCATTTGGTAATTTGGTAACTTTTGCCTCACTGTGTCTTGTGTCTGGTGGGAGAGCTCTTTAGGATGGGTTCTGACTTGTTCTCACCTGACAGTCTGTGGCATCACCCGAGAAAGGCTTGCTGTGATCTTTACTGGGTCGTTCATCTCCTGTTCTGAGTCCCTTAAATCTCCATGTCTTGCCTTCATGATTTCCTTTTTTTGCTATGGAGCTCAGGTTGGCTTAAGTTGTGACTGTCCTCTTGCCTGAGCCTTTCAAATGCTGAGAATATAGGCATGTGCCAATATGACTGGACTCTCACTGATTTCTTTTTTTAAAGTGGCATCTTACTATTCATATTATGTAATGATTATTTCTTCTAATTTTATAGAATTGACTGCCCTTGCCTAGCTTTATCCAGGAATAATGGAAACTACACCCATGACTTTAAATCTCTAGTAGCCACATTGAAAAAAAAAATAAACATAGCTGAAAGTAATTTAAGCAATATAGTTAATGTAATTCAAAACATAGAAGACTGTTTTGCTGCCTAATCAGCATTAAATGATATTTTATTGATTCTTTACTATTAAATGCTCAAACGGAGCCAGTCACATGCCAAATTGCTCACGAGTCATATGCACTTAGTAACTGCCACATGGGACAGGAGGACCTAGCCAATCATGCAATCCATGTTTAGTGTATACCGGCTGCCAGGATGCTTGCTGTAACACAGCTGAAGATAACAACAGATGATATAATTTTGCTTTATGCCAGCATCTCTAAGTTTCCCTAACCGTTTTCTCTGCACTGCAAATTGTATCTTATTGCTCTTTTCTTTGAGTAAAATGAAAAAAAAAAAGGTTAAGCTATATTTGTTTTTAAAAACATATTTATTATTTTTTAATTATGTATTTGCATGTGTGGCTGTATTAGGCATGTGTCTGTTCATGCAAGTGCCTCAGAGGCACCAGGAGCTGGACTTACAGCTGGTCCTGAGCACCCAGTATCAGTGGTGGGACTTAAACTCAGGTCCTCTAAAAAAATGTTTGTTCTCTTAACCACTGAGACATCCATCCAGCCTCCTAAACTACATAATCTGTCCTTCAGGACTATTGCCTTTTGTTGTTGTTGTTATTTCTCAAATTGGGCTATTTTCTATTTTTATTCCAGGTCTACCTAGTCAGAGTGTCTCCTTGAATTTAAAAGGAATATCTCAGAAAATGAATCTAATTTCCATCTTCTAAAACATTGTGTAGTCTGTGTGGCCTAGTGAGTCTTCTGTTCTTGGGGGGGGCTTATTTCTGCTTACATGTCACCCTCCATCCCTGAAGGAAGCCAAGGCCAGAACTCAAGCAGGACCTGAAGCAGAGACCGTGGAAGAATGCTGCTTACTGGCCTGCTCCTCGATAACTTTTTCATATATCCAAAGACTACCTGTCTGAGGGATAGTTCTGCCTACAGTGGACTCGGACCTCCTCACATCCATCAATAATGACCCCAGGCCAGTCTGATGGGTCCCACCCTTCCGCTGAGGTTCTCTCTTACTGGGTCACTCTGGGCTGTGCCAAGTTGTCCATGAAAACTAGCATACCGTGTGATCCATTTGATCCTTTAGGAGAGCTATCTAATGATTCAGTCCATGTAGACTTTAAAATGTTGGGGCTGAGACTGTAGCTCAGAGGTAGCATAGCTGCCTGGTGTATCTGTAGGCTCTATGGTTGATCCCTGAAATGCAGGTCATTTAAGTCTAATATTAACTCTCCATTCTGTAAGTTTCAGAAATGCATACTAACTCCCCCCCACACACACTTAATGTTAATATCAAGGATACTTTCTTCAGTTCTGTTAGTGAAAAGTGGGCTAGAAATGAAACTATAACATTTCCATTTATTAGAAACCAGTGTGATGTAACAGATCCTGTTTTAGGTTTATAGAAGATGGTTGACTCACTGCTCTGGGAGAGATTGCCAGAAGTCTAAAATAACATGTCTGGACTGAGAACAGTGATGCCCAAACCCAGCTCCTTAAACCTAGTAGGGTATTGCAATCCCTGCAGCCCTTTTATCAAGCAGTTCAATCACTTTCGGGAGCTGTTGGTCAATTCTTGTTAAGACAATGACATTAAAATACGGACCCAGAAGTCAGGAAAAGCCCTATACGCTGTGTTCAAAGAGTCTGTCAGACCCTGAGTAAGCACAGTGAAGGAAACAGAAACTAGATATGAATCATGCAAACACAGAAGTTCATTAAAGGCGCTGAGAAAATTGTGCATTTTGTTGCTTTTGAGAAGAGCCCCAGAGTGAGGATGGATTTTGAATAAGACTGTTCTGAGCATAAGCTTAATCCCCTGGTAATTAGACATAAGAAACTGTTTTCCAAACACTGCATTCTGCCTATGCCATCTGGTATCTGGGGTAGATCTGCCAAGGTTCATGTTCATAGCATTTCTTGGTGTTTGATATGAGCTGTCCCAGGCGTCATAGCGTCAAGTATGTGCACCGAATAAAGGGCATTTTCGGTGGCCACCACCGTCTGACTGACCTCCCCATGCTTGAGAGGGCCACTGTGAGTCTTCTTTCCTGCCTTGTTAGCCTGCCTTGCTAGAACGGATGGAAACAAAACTTGGGCTCACACAGACAGCACTGACGTCTGCTGGACTTGGGTGCTAATGAGAGGCTCTTCAGTGTCTGAAAGGTAGAGGAGAAACAGCTTTTGACTTCAGCGATCAGAGATCTTAAAGGCTGTTTGTGTGTTCACATGTGAATGGGCACGCGTATGTATGCATATGGAGGCCTGAAGTGTCTCCCTGGATCCCTGGATTACTCCATTTTATGGACTGAGGCAGGTTCGCTTGCTGATTCCAGAGCTTGCCAATCAATTCTGGCTAATTATCCAGCTTGCCCCTGTGTCTGCATCCCAAGTGCTGTGATGATGGGGACACTGCCAGGCTGCCTGGTTTTTATGTGTGTTCTGGGAATGTGAACTCCAGTCTTCTCACTTGCCAGGGAAATGTTTGGTGCCCTGAGTCAAGGCCTCATCCCTGATAAACAGTTTATGAGAGCTGGATTTGCCGTATGAGTTTGTGCTGGTCTGGTGCCTGCTGTCTCCAGCTTGCTCCCATTCTTACTGAACGCCTACTGGCTGGGTTAACCTTGCTGTGTGTTTTCCTCTGTTAAGCTATAGGTGACATGTTCATTAGGCTATTTGCTTTTGTTTCTCTTGGCAATTGAGTCTGAGATGAAAAGAGTTTGGGCTGTTTCCCTTCTGAATATTTCTCTACCCTTTTAGGAGAAAATTATCAGATATAACAGTGGCTATAATAGTAGTTATTATTTGCTCTTTATTTTCTAGCCTGGGAAGGCACAATACCTCAACATTGCTTTATCTATAACCGGACTCGCTTGTCTTGGGATGTCACTTTTTATGAAATCTACTGCCAAGCTATTTATGTAAGTATATAATTAACACATGCCTAAGCTGTTCACTTATTATTTTATGTGCATCCATGTTTTGCCTGCATATATGCATGTAGGAGGGTGTTGGATTCCCTTGAAACTGGAGTTACAGACAGTTGTGAGCTACCATGTGGGTGCTGGGAATTGAACTCAGGTCCTCTGGAAGAGCAACCAGGGCTCTTAACTGCTGAGCCATCTCTTCATCCCCACTTATTTTTTAAGTAATTCTGAAGACAAGAACATTAATTTAGAATTTAGGTAACTTCAAAAGAATCGTATGCCAAAACTCAGAACACAGAGCTGGAGAGATGGCTCAGTGGTTAAAGAGCCCTGGCTGTTCATGCTGAGGCCTCAAGTTCAATTCCCAGCACCCCCTTAGTGGCTCACAATGGTCTCTAACTCCAGTCCTAAGCGATCCAATACCCTCTTCAGGTCTCTGAGGGCACCAGGCACATACATGGTGCATAGACATACATACATGCAAG